TATAAAAATTTATTAATTTAAATTTAAAATTAATTACTATAAATTATGCTTTCTATTTTTTTACTTGATATGACTTGACCACAGAAAAAGATGAAGTTTTTACTCAAATAGATCCTTTAGATGAACTAACTTAAAAAGAAAAACTCAAAGAAATTATCACTCGATTAAAGATAAAAAATCAAAGAAAATAACAAGACCAATTTATAAAGACTTTAAAAGCATACTATTACTTAAGAAAATTATGAGAAAGTATAGCAAATAATAAACAAAGAATAAAGAATATCTGAGATGCCCTACAGAAATCTTTAGGATCTCAACAAGCTAAAATAGTATAGAAATATGCTAAATGAGCTTATAAAATCTTTCAGATATATGAACTAGACAAACTCTGTTCTACTACTAAAATCACTTTTACTAATCTTGAAGCTTTAAATGATGAAGATTTTATAGAACTTTTAGATACAGTTAGAATTTGCAGTGCTCATTTTTAAAGAGAATAGAAATGTTATAAAATATGTTTTACTTATTTTATTCTTATTATTTTATTATTAGTATTTTATTATTATAAATAGTTAATTTTTTGAATGTACTTTATTATTATCACTTTTACAAATAGCTTAATAGTTAAAGATAGATTTAAACTGTACTATTAGATTTAGCTTAATTAGACTTTTCAAATAAGCTATATTTCATATCTGTAGGACTCATAGTTTTAGAGTTGCCTTAAAAACAACTATAGTATAATTAATAGTTCTTACAGTTCTTACAGTTCTTATAGTTCTTATAGTTTTTATAGTTTTTACAGTTCTTATAGTTCTTACAGTTCTTATAGTTCTTACAGTTCTTATAGTTTTTACAGTTTTTACAGTTTTTATTACTAGTTGTAAAAAGCTATATAAACCCTCCCTTTTCTCTTTGTCTCAGATTAGATTTGACTTTTGCAGTCTCCTTAATATTAGAATTCTCTTAGCACAGAAACTAATAGATAGTTTTGTATTATCAATATTGTATCTTAAATAAAGTAATATCTTTGCTCTTTCATTAATTTTGTAATAAACTGCTATAGTGAAGTAATATTTCATTTAGATACTATTGAGAGCTTTTCTTCTGTATCTTATATTACTTGTGTTGTATTTAGAAGACCAATATTTATAACAACATCCTAAGATACAAAATCTCTTTTCTTTAAAAGATCAAATATTTTATAAGCCAAGCTCTGATCAGAATTGAAATTAGAACAAATAAATTAAGCTTTAAGAAATAAGTTATCTAATAAAGTTTTAATTAATAAATTGAATAAAAAATATATAAAAGATCTAAAATATAAATATATCTAATATGAAAATAAAATTTAATCTCTCAATAAAGAACTAAAATAGCTCAAGAATACTTCAAAGAAAAAAAAAAAACTGATTTAAGATTAGAAATATTATCTTTTAAAAAAAGTTTATATTAAGCTAAATAAAATCAAAGATAAGATATCTTATATCAATAATATAAAAAAACAATTATAAGAATTAGAAAAGTAGATTTACTTCTCAAAAAAAACTCTTTAAGTTTATATAATTCAGAAGAGAAAAATATAGATATAGTAAATCTTAACCTTTTTATACAAATTGATCAAAACTTAAATCATATTAAAAACTATATTTGAGATACTAGTACTCTATTAAATAATCTTATAAATATTATAAATAGAATTAGAAGTTTCTTAAACACTGTTTATCTTAATTATTAAAATATATATCAGAATATAGATAGTATTATAGTCTAATAAAATGATAGGAATAATCAAGTATAGCAGTTGCAATAAGATATCAATTATTTTAGATAACAAAATACTAATCTTCTGAATTAAACTAATTAAGTTGTTCAGAAGTAAGATACTTTGCAAAACTATGTTAATTAACTTATACTAGAATGAGATATCTTGCAGAATTATATCATCAATTTATTTGAGATCTTAATAATAGCTAACAAAGATATAATTTGTAAGAATATTTGTAGTTTAATACAAGTCTAATATAGAATAAATAATCAAAACTCAAATGTATTCTTGAAATTATTTATAAGATATTTATTTATCATTTAGAACAAAAGCTATAATAATGTCAAGCTAATAAAGGATTATAAGAATATAATTGAGATCAACTCTTTAATAGATATTACAATAAATTTAAAAACTAAAAGACAAGTCATATCAAGTAAAAAAATAGAAAGCATAATTTATAGTAATTAATTTTAAATTTAAATTAATAAATTTTTATATTTCAAAATAATCTATCTATAAATACTCATATAGAAAAATAGTAGATTATATACTAACTTTATTTTATAAAAAAGCTAAAAAAGATCCTAAAAAATAAATTAGAAATTTTAGACAATATTGACTTGCAGATACTTAAACTAGAGTAAGGATTTATAGGCTTTTTGAAACTTGTTTAAGAGATAATACAAAAGATTAATATAAAACTAATCTCAAGAATAAAAATTGAGAATTGCAAAATATTAGTAATAATATGGATCTTACAGATCTTGATGCTTTTAATAGATTAGCTAACAATAATGCATTATATACTATTAATACTAATCAGTTTAAAGGCAGAGCTTTTCAAATAAAAATATAGTTTTAGCTAACAAACAATACAATTATTATAATATTAGTACTAGCACATACTGTTTTTGATAAAGATTAGTTAATAGCTAGTAGATAACTAATAGATTTAGCTCTTAATACTTCTAATATTAATGCAGAAGGTAATACTATTGTTTCTGATATTTATATTGAACAAGTAATATATTGGCTTAAAACAAATTATCTAACAATTACTGCTGAAAAATCAAAAGTTGTATTTAATAATATTACTCAAGAAACTAATTCTATAGGCTAATTCTATATATAATTAAAAAGAATAGTTGTATTTACTTATTTAATACTTCTAGTATTAAATCAGAAAGAAATAATTAAACAACAATTCTTTCAAAGTTTTTTATTTGATAATAAATTAGAAGTAAGATATATTGGTCTTAAAAATCTGATTTCTATTTTATTACCAAAATTAGAACAAAATGAAAAACAAAAAACTGAATTGATATTAAAAAAGTATAATTCAAATTCTTATTTAGTTATTTCTTATTTACAATCTATAGCTAATACAAAAGATCTTTATATAACAAATAATACAGATATGACTAAAAAAGAAATTGAAAACTTTATAAAATCTATAATAATATCTACACAAACTCAATTTGTCTTATAAACTATCTTTTCTAAATCTTAGAAGAACTAGATCATATTCTTATAAGATAATTTTAAAAAAATTATAGCAAATTTGAAAGGAACTAAAAGACAGCAAATTTTGAAGAAACCTTTTAAATCTAAAAAACAAAAAGCTAATAATCTTGCTATAAACTGTTTTTTAAATAATTTAATAGTTAATATAAATTTATTAGAAAAAGCTTATGACTATAATTCTATTAAAAATTTTAGACAACAATTTAAGTAGTTAAAAATTAACTAAGCAAAAATAGCTCAAGTAATATATGCAGTTTTAAAATTTTCTCAATACAAATATTCAAAGTATAGTAAAACAGATCATAATTCTTGCAACTGCTTGAAAAATAAATAAAAAAACAAGTTTAGATATTTTAACAAAAGCAGATCCAAAAAAAAGTAAAGTTAATATAGCTACTAAAGATTCAACTAGTACTAGCTCTTCTAATAATAATTTTAATTTTGGCTTTGACTTTGAGTCTAGTTCTAAATTTGATTCTGAAAATAACTTAACTGAAACTGAAATTGTGAAAATAATCAATACTATTAATTCAAAAAAAAAATAAAACCTAAAAGATTAAAGACTAAAAGAAAATCTAAACTTTATAAAAAAAAACAGAAGGAGATTTCTACTTCTAATAAGTTCTAAAAGATTATACTAGATATACTTGATAGTTTTGTATTTATAAATTGAATTAAAAAACTTAAAGCTAAGATTAGGAATTCATCTAGGCTCTTTAGATATAACTCTTTAGATCATATACCTTTCTTTATCACAAAACCTAACTTTTTAGATTATAAAGATCTATTTTTAATAATTTCAGAATCAAATAGGAAAGAAGAGATATTAAATGATTCTATAAAGATAAACTTTGTTTAAAGAAAAAAACTTATTACAAGTCTTGTAACTATACTAGTTAAAATCAAATACTTAAAAATTTTAGTATTAGTATTAGATAGTAGAGCTAAACCTCTAATTATATTAGAAGATATTATTAAATATATAAATTAGCTAATTGATAATTCAGAAAAATATAATCTTAGTGAAGTTGCTACAGTTCCAACAGAATCTATTAGTATTACTTATAATTTTCTAATAATATTTTCTTCAGATTTTACTATATATAAAAATTTTATAATTATACATATCTCTAAACTAATATTAATATTTTTAAATCTATTTTTCAAGAAATATAAATATACTATAAATTAGAAAAAAAATAAATTAAAAATTCTTTTTAAAAGGTTTAGTAATCTAGTATAGTGAATAGGTTGTCAGACTACCATATAATAGGTTTAGAGTTCAAATCTCACTATTAACAATTTGAATAATTTCTTAAACCTTATATTTGTTTGTTTCTGAGAGTTGTAACTCTATAAATCATATTGTACTAATATTAATCAGATATTAGAAGTATATCAAAATATTGAAGTTGCATTATATAAATAAATCAAGAAAGAATCTATGAGTAGAAGACTTGTATAGTAGAAATTCTAAGTTAGATAAAGTAATACAAATTTCAATAATTATATCAGTTAATGCTTGATCTGATAAAAATTTCTGAGTATGAAAATGTAGATTGAGTAGATGCGAATAAGTTTATAACATTGAGTATTATAGCAATATCAACTTGGCTTAGTAGCTAACTAAATTGAGAAAATCTGTCTTGTGAAATATTCAAAAGAACACAGAAGTCTAAACTAGTAGAAAGTTATAGCAAGAACTAGGTTCATATAAATATCAAATAAGAGTATATGTAAACTAGATTAGAATATAGTATAGCATAGTTGGATATCGTAGTATCTATCTGTTAAGAAGTATTAAATATAGTACTTACATAGATAAAACTTAAGCTTATAATAGTAAAGTTTGCAACATAGATTAACTTGGGTGTTTTCTAATATAGAATAGCATAGAGTTTGGATTAACCTAAAAAGTAATAATTGTAATAAGTGAGATAGATCAGAAAGTTTAAATAGGAAATCTTCTAAGAAATTTTAGATATGACAGCTAGTATAGAACTTTTGAGCAGATTACTTAAATTAAATAACCTAAAATTATATATATAGCTAGTTGTACTTTCATAATATATATCATATTCTGTAATTAAGAAATTAATAAAGTTAGCTGATAGCATTTGTATAAAGTAAAAAAAAAAAAAAAAAAAAAAAAAAAAAAAATTCTTTTAATAAGAAAGTTTATATTATTCTAGTAACTATACACAAGATAAAAAATAAACTTGAAGTAAATTGTACTATTATATCTCAGATTAATAAGCCTTTTATATCTGATTAACTTTTTCAAGAGATGAATAGTAATAAGGATAATAGTATATCATTCAAAAAGTAGTGTACTTCTATGAGTTTTAGCTCAAATTCTGATGATTTATTATTAATTATTAAAGCTACTTTCTTAGCTAATTAGATTTTATTAGTTTGTTATTACAGAACTATTACATGAATAGTTTTCTAAAGTTTTATAGTTACATGATAAGTATACAACAAACTATATGTATAACTTTAGTTATTATTTAATTTAAATAGTCTGCTATACAGACAATTAAATATTTATTAGTTCTACACTATGCTACAATATTTGCAATTTGTCTATGAATTACCTAATTAAATACTCTGATTATTAACCTTTCACCTATCTTAAACTAATATTACTACTATATCTAACTGCTTAAGCTAGCTAACTTACATATAGATCTATTTACCATATAGCTTAAAGGTTCTAGTATATGTTGTAGAACTTTTAGATAAAAGAAGTCTATACAAATATATAGACAAAATGCTGTAATGAAATGAATATCTAAGAGAAAAGTATAGGAATAATACAAGAAAACAAGAAAACTAGTATCAAAATCAAGAAGAAAGAAATGAAAAAAAGAAAAAAAGAAAAATAAATATCTCAGACATTGCTACTGCAAGTTTGGTATATGAAAAAAGATTAGATGAAAATAGGAAAGTTTGTAGTTTAGAATTTATATTAGCAAAAGATAGTATATTAAAAGAAATTATAAAGAGTTTTAAAAATTTATGGTCATAATTTGCAAACATGATGAGTTGTGGTATCCTTTCTTTAAGGTATTTTCAAGTACTTATATAATAAAGCTAAAGGTACTGAGAGTAAAAGTTACTATAACAAATCACATTTAGGTACCAAATAGTAACTGAGTGAATTAGTACTTAGAAATAATCACTAGATAGTAGAATATACTAAATAGTTTAGTTTTAATTGTAGATTAGAATTTGATTTAATAAAAGTATTAGCATGATTGCTGAATTTAAAAAAAAAAATCTGGTATTAGTATACTTAGACCAAATAGGGTAATAATATAATTTCAGAAAACATAATTGCTAATATGATAAACAAGAAACTCAAAAAAGAACTTCTAATTCTAAAAACTCTAGAAAAGAGTATAAGCTTATATAATTCAAAAAAGTTTCTAAAATTTATAAACTTTTCTTATTTCTAAACTGTAATATTAACTATATAGTATAAATTTAATAAAGTACGCTTAATTGCAGTTTTTTTTAAAAAAAAAAAACAAAAAACAAAAAAATTAGCACATATTGCTGAATATTTCTCAAAAGTGATAAGAAAATAGCGAAAACTGAAGGTGTAATAAATTTCAGTGTAGTGGAGAGGTTGTAATATTTTTTTTAAAAAAAAATTTTTTTACAAAAAAAAAAAAAAAAAAAATCAATTATAAAACTTTTTTTTTTTTACCATGTTCTACTTTTGTCTTTTAAGTAAATTAAATTTTATATTATATTAGTTAATAAAAATTTACTAAAATTTACTACCAAAAAAAGTGATAAATTGTGTGACTGATACAAAAATTACTTTATTACTCTTCCGTAACTTCCTGCTAAATGTTCGTCTTTAATATTAGTTGACTATATATCTTTTCGAAATTTTTCGCTGACTCTAGCTGCCCAAAATTTTATTCCTGGCCCGAATTATACCCTCCTTATTCTTAATTTGCCCGAATTAGATATTGATTACACTGCACGTTCAAATTTGGGTGAGATCAAATCTAGGAGTTTTGCTCACATGTCATGTCTTAAACCTGGAAAAACTAGTTTTTGAAACCAAATATAATTCCAAATAGCGTAAATATTTTGAGAACTCCGCGTAATACGTAGATATAAAGAATTGTCATACTATAAATAAGATTAGTAAACAAAAGTCATACCTAAAAGATATAGGGCCCTGAAGAAAATTGCGCAATAATCAGTCTTAATTTCTTAATTTAGATCATGAAATACTAGATCCTGTCATTTTCTTCGTAGGGCACAAAATCATGTGGAAAAGAATACACATCATAAGACAAAAATTATGTAAGTACATATCGATATCGATATAGTCAGGACGAAAAAATTATTAATAAAATTTATTTTGACTTATATAAAAAAAATTTTTTAATCGCTCAACAAAATAAGTTCTATGTTAAAAAAAAAAAAAAAACACAAATCCTAATTCTTGAATGACATGTATAATGGGAAAAACAAACTATTGTGCATGAGCGACTTTTGAATCATGATGTTATTGAATGTGCTAAGATAAAAATTCTATGTACAATGGATATGAAAAATGAGTATCCATCAATTATAATAATATTCACATCCATCGCCTAATATATTGGTACGTACTTCTATTATGTTTAATATGCGGATATATATATATATACAAAATGAAATATTGAGATTTCTAATAAATAAATTCATCGAGATGAGTTTGAAATGAACCTTTTCATTATAATATGAAGTTTTGATATGAATGATGTCTAGTGTAGCATTATCAAGAACGAGACCAAATTATTGGACGTAAAGAGACTTAGACCTAATGCGTAAATTTCTAGTGCTAGCATAAACTTTTGAAGAGCCACCAGTTTTATGGTAACGGGGCAGTGGAGCACGGTGATAAAATAAAGTTGATTGTTGTTGAGGAGGTAATTGAACTTTTGACATAAGCCATGCGGAAGAAGTCAAAATTGGTTTGCTAGAATATATAGCGGAGGTCGAGAATGACGAAGAGGATGACGAACTCATTGGAGATGTGGGAAAGGAACAACCCAAATGGTCTTGAATCTTACATTCTTCAGAGCAATATATGGCACCCTGAGTAAAAAAAAAAAAAAGCAAAAATTAAAAAATCTATCAAATCTAAATAACGATATATATTATTTTATTATTTATTTTTTAATACTTACGGGAATATTGCAATGAGAATTGCACATGATACACCAATCAGTATCCATTTTAAATTATTATTATTTTTTAAAGAAAAAAGTTTCTTGTTTCGCGTAAATAGAGAGAAGAATCGTAATAATACGTAAACAAATTTCGATTTTTTTTTTTTTTTTTTTTTTAAAAAAAAAAAAAGTCGTAGTAAAATTCGAAAATTTGTTGAGAGGCAGAAAAAGCGGAGACGCCAACTATTTATAATAAAAAAGAAGATTAATTATAAAAAAGGATAATTGTATCAGGAATTAAACGCCGAGTATTTGTCTATTTACTAAAGTCATGTAAAGCAGATATGGAAAAAAGTGGCATTATAATATTATAATTACGGAGTGATTGGCTGAAACTCAAAGGAGGTCCGCAGATAAGAAGTCGGCCGGTTTTGGATTGGGCCCTGTAATCTAATTTGTCTTTTGGCACGGTAACTATATGTCACTAAACATATGGCACTAAACATTATTTATTTATAGATTAACATTTTTTTTAAAAAAAAAAATCATACAAGGGAGATCATTGGTGCATTAATATTAATATTGCACAAATTTATGAGTAACACGTATCACACTTTATATTGTCCGAAATTCGATCCATCAAAAAATTAAACATAAAGACTTTAATTAAATTATGCGTGGCCTTGATGAAACCATATGGAAAACAACAAACACCAATTGTCTTTACGATTTTTCAATTGTGCATTGAAATTAATTATTTAATAATTCACTACATGAAGTCGATCGATAATCAATTAATACGTACCGAATAATAACTAGCAGATGAACACACGTCTATCATGTATCTTTAAATTTAAAAAAACCAATGAATTTTCGTAGATTAAATTTTTTTTAATATATTCTGACCTTTCCGTTTGCACACATAAAAAGATAAAATTAAATAAAAACGGTTGTTTTTAATCGTGCAATGGGGCATGTGCAAATAAAGGTTTGTAAAACTATATCATGAACTTGAATATACAGTATAATTTTATAAAAACGAATTCTACAATAAAGGCGGTTTATTTTAACATAATTTAGTCAGCATCATTTAAAATAATTGAATATATGCTAGTAAGACGGTTCTTTAACATAATTTGATATATGCTAATAAAGGAGGCTGCATCATTGAATATATGCTAATAAATACAAATCTTATTTATAATGTATTAAGGAGATCTGTTGCATTAATTTGTCATTCGTTCCCTAGATAATAAATATCATATGGTTATTCTAATTGGCCAAATTTGATTAAATTATGTATAAAATTTCCAATATACTACGTATTCAAAAGGTTTGAAAAAAATTATATATCATATCATAATACGGGTCAAATTGGCCTGCATTATTCTAGTAAATCCGATAAATCAGGCACGTCACGGGACTACCAAATAAATTGACCCAGTCGATAAAAAAAAATTTGAAAAGAAAATATACGATATTTCAAACCTATTTTGAATATTAACGAAAAGTTTAATAAATATTTCACAATGCTCAGGCTTTTAACCGTTCCCCTTATTTGGAAAACTAATTTATGCAATTAATATTAATTGATATTACCGTATATTATTATTTATTTCAGTCATACATATCAAAAATGAAAACCATCGCTATTGTCCAGATAGATAATACTATTTATAGATCATTGTTCAAAAAGGAAAATTTTGCTAATAATCATAAACGTGTCGTTATTTTTCATTTTTATTTTATGTTTTACGTATTTATTTTATTTTATTTTATTTTTTTTTTGAAGATTAACAATTTTCGATGAGCATAATAAAAAATGGTTAGATTTGAAAATCAGGTCCTGCAATAAGAAATTATCTTGGGAACAACTACATGCATTTAGGGAACAATCCATTTTAAAAAAATGCAGTTGTCTACAAGTGTATCTTGACCCCTGCAAAAAAAGACACTTTTATTATTACATCTAATTAGCGTTAACTTTTGAAAATTTTGATATTGTACGTACGTACATACGACGTAGTGACTCATGATGAATATAATATTTTTACCTTTTTTTTTAAGAATCTCCGACGCTAATTAAGAAAGTACTTCATTTAACAAATACTTTCTAAAAAAAACACGATATGTACAGTACATATGACTCGGTAATCACAAACATTAAAGTTCGATTCACAAAGCCATTCTACCGAAGATAATTACCTTTCTGAGAATTTTATATTTGAATTCTTTTTTTTGCAGGTGACAGTCCACGTTGTACTATGGTATTTCATTAAGATCTTGTAGCAAAACTTTAACTTAATGCTTGGTTCCGGTTAGGCTGCCTTTCCCGATTTTAAGTCGTACAATGACTTAAAGTTGCCATTTCTGTTTAGAAGGTAGCGGTAGTGTAAGTGTATCGATAAGAAATTTAAATGTTTAAGTTTCAGCGTCAGATCCTTGAAATTTGCTAAATAAAAAAGATATCTTGTTGGTTACTACGTCACCAATCGAGAGCAGACACATAGTTTTCCCAACCTATCGTTATCGTACATTGAAATGCCTAAGATCAGGGCCCGATGATTTGCTGTGATTCACGGAATGCACGGAATCAGGTTATAAACACGGAATGTGTCAAAAGTATCACGGAAATGTTGGAATATGGCACGGAAACGTCGCAGAAAGTAAGGATTTATAAGTACACAATCCAAATATATAACTTTCGAAAAGTCCCGACGTAGAAAAATAAATGAACCTAAAAGACGAGCATGGTGGTCGAGCTAAAATTTTTGATTGATAATCCGAATAATCAATAACGGAATATTAGAGGATTTTGTACGTACGGATTTTATAATTTTAACGCACGAAACTTAGCAGAATTTAATTTTTCAAGGACGGAATCGACAATTTATCACTGCATAAAATCATTGGCCCTAAGATCTAACGTTACCAACTTAAAAAAAAATTTTGTTAAAGTGCATTTTAGAACGGATTCCTTATAAATTATATTCTGAGTATAATGGAAATTGGTTTTTATTGGTTGTTTATTTTCTATTGAAAAGTATTGTTACACAAATTATTTATATGTTTTACAATAGAAAATTTAATTCAAATTGGACAAGTCAAAATTTTTTATAATTAAGATCATCTAAAATTTTGCCAGATTGTTTTTTAAAAGCATAAGGTTAGACCAATTTGATTCTTTGTTTAACATAATATTCAAGTTAAAATCTAGAAAAAAAGAAAGAAGAAAAACTATTATAATATAATAATTAGGTTTAACAAATTTATAGACTCAAACATAAATCTATAGGACTCTTTTTACTGATCTTCTGTATACAAATATACATAAATAAAAAACTTTAAATTATAAAAAAATAGTCTAAAAAACAACATTTGTAGTTCTAAAAAAAAAAAAAAAGAACAAAGAGAAGCTTATAGTCTCTTAAAAGATTTAGATCTCAAAGTTTCTAATGAAGAAGTTATAGAAGAAAAACTTAAAGAAACGCAAAATTTTTTCTCTTTTACAAATATTTTTTGGAATTATACTTGACTCTGTTGCATAAATCTGTTTAGTTATATACAAATTACAATATGTAATAGAATATAAACAAAGAAAATATAGAAAAAAACATATAATAGATAGATATATAAACAAAACAAAACAAAAAAAAGGTACGTAAAACTAGAAATTAAAGAAGATCTCAAAAGAAAATATAGAGGAATAGAAATTATAACAAAACAGATTTATAATATTAAAAGAGTACTAAAATTATATCAAGAAAAGAAAGCAACTAAGACTAATTTAGACAGTTTTATAGAAATTGATAAAGCATCTTATACTATAGCAAAAAAATAGTTAGATTAATTAGAGAAGATATTTACGAACTTTTAGTTATAAAAAAAATACAATATATAATAGGAAAAATAAAAATGAAAAAGCCAAACTATAAGAGATGCATATTAACAATTATATAACACTCTTTCTGACGATCCCTCATACTAAAAATTCCCAACTTATTTTTTTAAAAAATATACAATAAACTTTGTAGAAACATAAGAGCAACAACGCGGAGAAGCATAAGACAGCACCTGTTATTTAGAGATAGTTCTCATACGCTATCTGCTAACAGGTTTAGAGTTTATCACTCA